TATATACCCAGGAGTGGCATCCTAGGTCCTAAGGTGTTTAGTTCTATGTTTAACTTTTTGAGGTAGCACCAAACAGTTTTTCACAGCAGCTGCACCATTTACAGCCCTACCAGCAATTGATGAGGGTTCTTATTTCTCCAAATCCCTTAAGGGGTACAGAGTTTTTGTTGAGAGTAAAGAAAAAAATTAGAAAGAGTAGTAATGGTTGTACAACATAGAGAATATAATTAATGTCATTGAATTATACATGTGAAGATGTTCAATATCACAGATGTTTTGTTGTATATATTTTACCACAATAAAAAATTGGGAAATTTTGTTACACGAAACCAATAATATATTAAGAATAAAAAAGGAGTGGGAAAATGCAAAACAGAGTTACATATTCTCATGGACTCTAGACTTTCTGGAGTCCATGGAAGTTGGATCAACATCTGAAACTATACACCCGAGATAAACTAAATCTTAAACCGAAATTATCCCCTGAAGTCCTCTTAAAACTAGCAGTTTAGCTTAACTACTGAAAAAAAAAGGTCTGCCTTGTGCGTTATGCTCTTGTAAGAGCTATGTATATGAGATCAAAGTGACAACAGCAACTTGAAAGATTAGATAGGAAATGTAGGGGGCAGTGAGTTCATGTTAACGAGGGAGGAACAACTCAGAAAAGGAGGATGAGAATGGCTGCGCAACTTGAAGAATGTCATCAAGTAGAATTGTACGTGTAGAAACTGTTGAACTGGTTTATCTTTTGCAGTGTGTATTCTCAACAAGAACAAAATAAATAAATTTTAGGGAAAACAAATCAAGAGGATAGATGCATAGAAATGTAGGGATGATAAGTAAGGAAAAAGGTAAGTGTGTGGTTAATATACAAGACCATTTAAGTATTAAAATATGTCCTGTGAGATTTAAAATACATGTAAAATTATAAAGTGTGACAAAAATAACACCAAAGAAAGGAAGTGAATAAACTGAGTTAAAGTTTTACCGTCTTTGCATCACTTGAAAAGTGTTAAAAGTGATCATTTATTTTATGATTTAATAAATGCAAGTTAGATATTCTGGGGCTGTTATTTTGTTATGTGCTATCGAGTCAGCCCTGACTCATAGCGACCCCTCCTTGGGTTTCCAAGGAACGATCACTACGGAAATAGATTGCTCCATCTTCCTTCCGAGGAGTGGCTGGTGGGTTTGAACCGCCAGCCTTCTGGTTAGCAGTCAGGTGCCTTAGGCACTATGCTACCCGACCTCCTATTCTGGGTTTAGAGTTGGCAAACTTTTTCTTAAAGGCCAGGTAGTAAATATGTTAGCCTTTGCAGACCATATGGTTTGTGTTACAACTACTCAACTCTGCCTATGTAGTGCAAAGGCAGCCAAAGACAATGTGCAAACAAATAAGCATTGCTGTGTTTAGGGTTGCTATGAGTTAGAATCAATTTGATGACAGTGGGGTGTTTCAATAAATCTTTATTTACAAAAACAGGTGGTCAGACCACAGGGCAGAGTTTGCTGCTCTAGTATAACTACTAGAAGATAATATAATTTACAAGCTAATATGGGGAAATATGAAAGAATAAAATACTTGTTTAATCCAAAGAAAAAGGAACTATAGACCAGGCCAAATAGAAAACAATAATAAGTTGGTATACTTAAACCCAAATATTTTGGTATATGTATTAAATATAGATGGAGTAAATATTCCAGTTAAAAGAAAAAAAGTCACACTAGACAAAAATCATAATCCAACTCTATTCTTCTTACAAGAAATGCAACTTAAATATAAGGACACAGAAATATCTGAAATAAATAGATGAGGAAAATAAAGCATACAAACACTAACCAAAAGAAAGAAAAACATTACTTGATGGTCTCATTATG